TGTTTAAGTAACCGGGACACAGAAATCAGGGTGCAGGTGAAATCTGGAACGTATAACACATCATCTAAGTAGTAATGTTGATTAAGAACCAGTCGGCCCTTTTTAGTAGCTTGAGATCCATGTCCATTCGGAAATTTAACCGATGATGGAAGGATATCAGTGATATTACTTAGTATCGACAGATTTCCTGTCATATGGTATCAGAGCCCAGATCCTAAAAAGCCCGAAACTCCTAATTAATTGATTAACCCTTCCGACCGGGTATATAGGTCGTGTTTAACCTTCCGACTAGGTATAATTGTCGTACTTGACTCGCTCGACCGAGTATAACTGTCTTAAAGTTCCAAGATTTCTGGCCGATAAGAGCCATCATCTCGAGGAGGGGTATTAGGGATAATATATCCCACATCGGGAATTCAATGGGACCTTAAGTAATATATAAAGGGTTAGGGCCAATCCACTTATTACCAATTGGTTTTATGTTGGAAGCCCACCTACCTTAATATGGTATCAGAAGTAGAAGAAGAAGTAGTAGCCGACATGTTCTTCGTATGAACACGTCTTTAAAAAAAAAAAAAAAAAAAAAAAAAATATGAGATTTAGGTTCCCAGAATTTTATGCTCTGATACCATGAAATATCTTAGAGTAGAATCAGTAGAATCAGTTGTTGTATTATGAAAGCAATAGCTCGATATTTATACAAGGAAAACATCCTAAGATGATAAGGACTTAGAACAATATAATCATTATCCTAAACTAACTAGGACTTATCTCCAATACTACCTAAAGGTTTGACTCCACCATTTTTTTTTCTCAATGTGTTTAGCACTTGTAAATGGTATCATCTCATTGTGAACAGATACAGAAAGATTACAAAGTCATCACCATGGACCAATGGATGGGTTTTTATAGATTCTGCAATGAGGTACGTACTTTCCATATATTTCTCCATGGCCATCCTCTTTAACCAAAAGTTATTTGCATATAATGTGATTTTTTTTTTAACATTACAGATAAGTTTCCCGGACATGACCAACTACAGTCTAGAACTTGCGTGGCCATTGATTCTCGACAACTTTTTTGAGTGGATGCGCGAAAAACAAGCATGAAAGTTCTCCATATTTGTCAAACTGTTCAAGTCCATAGATTCAAAAAGCCTCCATTTTTCACAATCACCATCAAATAATTTCATATTTGATTATTGTTATCCTTGATGAACATAATGCTTTCATATATAATATGAGTTCTATATACTCAAATATTCGGCTCTTCTCTTGAGCGTTGGTGTTCTCTGTTGTTTCATCAATAAATTTTTGTTTGCAAATTATATTAATGAGTTTTTAATTTCTTAGATACTGCCGAAAGAGATATATAAAAAAATTATGTAATATATACTCCTTTAGCAGTTTCATAAAAGGACACTCCATAGATGTTTCTTCTTCTTCTTTACTTTTTCTTTTCTTTTTTACTTTTTCTTTTCTTTTTCCTGTTTCTGATTAATATTTCATATTTACTGAGACTTGATTTGATATATAATTGTGTAAAAGTCATATCCAAAATATGAAACAAAAATGTAAATAAGATCACAGGAAATAAGGCTTCAACGCAATAGTTTCGTTTTGGCTTTGTTTTTTTTAGCTCTAAGATTGTGTAAAAACTACTCCTATTTGCATAATTATGAGTATGGACAGTCACATGTACAACATTCCAGATATGTTGTGTCTAGTTCTTCTATGTATGTGAGTAGGATTCCTTGTTTACACTGTTTCTTACCAGAAATGAAGAGATTTAAAGTGCTTTAGAAAGTTAAGCTTGTAGAATGATGACTTCTCGGGTAATTTCTGTTTCCCTCTCAGGGAACTTGCTAGCTAATACTTCTATCTGATTTGGTGACTTCCAAACCAATTCTTAGTGTTCCTTAACAGAGGAGCAACTCCATGGTTTAATGACATTATTACCTTTTTAACTCCTTAGTGCGAATTTACTGTGAAACACCAGAAGTTAAAAGGGACAAGCCAGCTGAATTCATTTAATTATCAAAGATATTGTATTAAGATGAAAAATAATCATAACATAATGTAGATACTTTTCTATTTGTTGGTCTAATTGTCTCTCTTTATACTGACACTATATTATGATGAAAATAATCATATGTAAAAAAGCTATTTAAGCTTTTATTAAGCTTGTGTAGTGAGAATGAACATGTCATAATTTAGAGAATTTTAGATCTTTTTCCACTGCGAACTATGATTTTGGTATCTACATAAAATCATAATCGATGTGACGTATTAGATAGTGTGTGGGATTAGTGAAGTAATTATGGTGCACAACAACATGATTTCCGCATCGTTAATATCTTGATTTGTGGATAATATTGATTATTAACTGCAATGATTAGCATTACTATATGATTAGAACTATAATGTAAACATCAACTTGATACGGACCCCACTGATCAAAGCAAACTTCACAGAATCTTTGGGTTATAATTCAGTAAATCCAAGATGATAATAATACCCACATGGTCACATATCATTCGAAAAGCTAGATTTTTTATTCTTCTTTTTCTGATCAATTCCAAAAGCTAGATAAATCGTGAAATGTCAAGTAACAAATGTGAATATTACAAATATTTGCAATACTGCAGATTGTTTTTTTTTTTTCTGAGTTGGTAATCGATTATAATAAATTGCAATGAATTTAAATTTTATGTAATGGCCGGTGATGAAATTGTGAAATAATAATAGCTACGTGAAAAGATTAGAATAAAAGGACCATCCAAAATCTAACTTTAATAGTCACATGGCGGTGAAAACAACAACCTCTGACGAACAACTCTTCACTTGTAGATCACTGTCTGTTTCTTTTAACCACATGTAGTTACTCTCTTCGATAATCACAGTGCATCCACTCTATGTTTTATTTTGAGAAACGTAAATCTTGTTTATGGTGCTTTATTTTGTCATTTGATATCATATAGATCCTCCACTGGACTATCATTGAATTTATACAGATAGAATTCATATGGCAATATATCAATTGATTGACTTTAGTCAGTTCACGCCTGATAAATCGGTGCCAATTTAGTGGGCAATAATGCGTATAGCGTAGGACATATTTTGTTCCTTTTAATGACTCTACTCCACAGTATTTTCTGCAATTCCATTATTATTTTTGGTACACTCATTATTATGTAGGTTTAGTTTCACATGAATTTTAATAGATAAAACCTATTATTTGCTGTGAACATGAAATGTGTTATACATGACTACATGTGATTTCCCTATTTTCATTTATAATATTCTGAGCAGCCAAATAATATATGTCGTAATCCAATTTGATAAAAGCTTTTAAGTATTGTACTACGTACATAGGCTTAAAAGAGACCTCAAATACTGAACTACAAAACAATATATTATGTAAAAAGGTACAGCTTGATTAATGGAACTCTAAATGCATTGAGTCAATCATTATATCAAGCAAATAAAATAATCAAACGATAGTAGAAACCGAAAATGTTATAATAATAAAGACTACAAAGAAGATGACAACAAGAGATCATAGCTTAAGAGTCAAGTCAATCTTCTTAAACTGGATATGATCTTCTTGCATGTTCTTGAAATATCCAATCCTTTCCAACTCAGAAGCAATAATATTATTGTCATTACTGCTGGCCACTTGAAGGTGAAATTTCTCTGGCGGCATCTTTCCGATGCATGGTGTCTGGTGAATGTTCTGTTTGAAAACATGACTTAAACTCGCTCTTTGTCGTCCTAAAAGGGGATTATGGGTCGTTGAATGAGCCTGAATGCCTAGCGACGAGCCATGTAACGGTAACGAGGCCATGCTTGCGAATCTGCTGACTGAACCATGGCCAAACGCAAACGCTGAAGAAGGGGAGGAGGAAGAAGAGGAGAGACTCATCTTGTAGTACTGTCCTCGTTTGGCTAAGGTGCGTTCGCGTTTATGAGCGTTTTGGTGGCCGCCTAGTGCTTGTGAGCTATAGAACTTTCTTTGACAATAGTTGCATGAGAACACTCTTGGATCTTCGAAATGTTCTTGATGAGAAGTCGACGGTGAGCTAATTTTGAAAGAACCGATGAGATTGAGCTCTGATAAAGTCGTACCACGTGGCAAAAGGCCCAAACCTAAATCAAGATCTTGATGACCTCGTTTCTTGATTTTTAACATTTCTTGATTTCCTTTGATGGAAGGATCCATGTGTATATAGCCTATAGAGAATAAATGAGAATGAAAGTAAACTTTGGATATAGATGTGAAGTGTGAGTTCTATTTATGGAACTGGATGGACATGACCTTTTATAAAAAAGAATGATGTTTAAAGAAAAAAGTACTCTTTTGATGTGTGCAATCTGACCTAGAGCTACAGAACCACACATGCAGTTGTATAGTAGTGGACACTTGAAATTTTTTTATTTATGATTGTAATTATCTGAGTTTTTGATTTATCTCGGGAACATGAATAATGAGTGTTTGTGGAAGTGCTTTAACCTACTGTATAAAGTTTAAAGATTTCTACACATATATTTGAGATTCAAATTACTTCTTGTAGATTATAAAATGTAAAGTTTATTGGAGGTTCGTTTGTTGTGTGCATGTGTTGCGGAGAGAGCTTGACCATCAAAGATATCATACATGAAAAAACCATCCGTCAATGCAAGTATTATAGGAAGAATTTCATCGTGGAATCATCATCATTCATGGAACTATTCATCAAATATTGTATATGTTACAAATAGTTAATCATAACATCTAATAAAATTAGAGATTATATAATGATATAATGGGTGCTATCCAATATTAAAATAATAATAATAATAATAAGTGTTCTTTTATTTATCAAAAAGTAATGAGTGTTCATGATTCCATGTTCTACCTATTGTAATAAATGTTATAAGTAGCTCTATCTTAATCAAATGAGTTTGTCTTTGTTGTCACCTCTTTTTTGGTAACTTTTTTTACCGTGTACGCTGGAAAACGTTTTCTAGGATTATAAACTTAGGTATACAGACTACAGCATGTACGTAGTCCCGTTTATTTAGGGTTTAGGTGAGACGTTTGATTCAAAACTCTGAACAAAGAATCTGCCTTTATTTGTTAAAGTGTCGGGTAAGTTATCACTTTGAAAAGGATTACGAAGCCAGTTAAATCTCCCCGACAATCCCTGTCGTTTCAATCTTTTTAATCCATTCTCCCGTTTTTTGGTTCAATATCCAAAACATAAACATCCATCTCACATAAAAATGTCACTAATCATCAGTGGCGGAGCCACATGAAGTAAGGGAGGGGCAGTTGTCCCTGATGAAATTTTCAAATTCAATGTAATTGTTTTAAAGTTTTAGTTATTCCTTCTTATTAACTTATTATTTTTTTTTTTTTGACATCAAACGGCCATTCTATTACTCAAGCAACATGAGGTGGTCTGGGTAACCAGACCGGAACAGAACAACCAACGTACACAAGCTTACGGTAAAAAGATCTAGCTAATTTGGCTAAAGAATCAGAAGCGCCATTCTGAAGTCTGGGAACATAACAAATCTTGAAATCTGGGAAGCAGATCTTCAGGGTCATCTCTGTTGAGAAGCTAGGCCAGGCCTGAGGATTCCTGAGCATTTCAATCATCTCCTCTTATTAACTTATTTTAATGAGTAATTTAATAAAATTTCCTAATCCATCTAATTTAATGAAATAACTTATATAAAATTTGTATTTTCAGGAGAAATATAGGCAATTAAGATCTTAAACTTTTTAAATTTTCATCATATATCAGTTCATGATGAAGTTATGTATTAAATCAAAATACAATATTTTCTAAATTAATTTATAAATAGTTCAATTTTTTTCCAATAAATAATATATATATTAGTATTTAGTTTCTTTAGATTGTTTTTAAAATACCTAAGCACAGTCTTAATTTATGTAAATGTACTAAACATACTTTCATGGTACGTACATGGGTATCATTTTTTTAATTTTCCAATGAATTATTTATTTAAAATTTATATACTATTTAATCAGTGGACTAATCTCTATCAAATCTCTATTTTGTTTGAAGAAATGGGAATATCTAAGATCTCAAACAATTTTAATTTTCATACTATGTCACTGCATGATGCATGTATGCATTAAAATAAAAATATCAGAATTTCTAATTTTTCTTGAAATATGTGGTTTAACCCCTACGAAAATATCGAGTTTTCCAAAAAATATTTGATTCTGAATTTTAGGCTCTTTATTAATTATTAACCTAACCACATGCTAAATTATATTAATTCATGGTAAAAGTATTTTCATGGTACATGAGAATCGTTTCTAGTATTTTAGTGAATAATTTAATAATATTTATTTCACTTAATTTAGTAGGTTAACCCCTACAAATCTATATATTTTAAAGAGACCGGGACAACTAAGATCTCAGACCTCTTTAATCTTCATCATATATCAGTGCATAATTTCTAAAAACAAATACCATATTTTCAATTTTAACTTACAATTAGATCAAGTCTTTTTTCTAATAAATTATATATATAAGAGTTTAACCTCTATAGTGTTGTTTTAAAAATATCTAACCACACTCGAAATTTATATTAATGTATCTTAAGCATATTCTCATGGTATATGGACATCAATTTTAATTTTCCAACGATTAATTTATTTAAACTTCATATACAACTTAGTTAGTGGACTAATCCCTCTCAAACCTTTATTTTATGGAGAAATAGGAATCCCTAAGGTCTTAAACCTCTTTCATATTATGTCAGTGTATGATGCATCTATGAATTAAAATAAAATATCAATTTTTTTAATTTTTCTTGAAATATGTGGGTTAACCCCTACGAAAATATCAAAATTTCCAAAAATATTAGAATTTGAAATTTTGGCTCTTTATTAATCATTAACCTAATCACATGCTAAATTTATATTAATGTATACTAAACATATTCTCATTGTATATGGACATCATTTTTAATTTCCAACGAGTAATTTATTTAAACTTCATATACCACTTAGTTAGTGGACTAATAATCCCTATCAAATATTTATTTTATGGAGAAATAGGAATGCTTAAGGTCTTAAACCTCTTTTATATTCATGTTATGTCACTGTATGATGCATCTATACATTAAAATAAAAATATCATAATTTCTAATTTTTCTTGAAATATATGGGTTTAACCCCTACGAAAATATCGAGTTTTCCAAAAAATATTTGATTCTGAATTTTAGGCTCTTTATTAATTATTAACCTAATCACATGCTAAATTTATATTATTTCATGGTAAAAGTATTTTCATGGTAAATGAGAATCGTTTCTAGTTTTTTAGTGAATAATTTAATAATATTTATTTCACTTAATTCTGTAGGTTAGCCCCTATAAAATCTATATATTTTAGAGAAACCGGGACAACTAAGATCTCAGACCTCTTTAATCTTCATCATATTTCAGTGAATAATTTCTAATAAAATACCATATTTTCAATTTTAACTTACAAATAGATCAAGTCTTTTTTCTAAAAAATTATATCTATATTAGTTTAACCTCTATAGTGTTGTTTTTAAAAATATCTAACCACACTCGAAATTTATATTAATGTATCTTAAGCATATTATCATGGTATATGGACATCAATTTTAATTTTCCAACGAGTAATTTATTTAAACTTCATATATCACTTAGTTAGTGGACTAATAATCCCTATCAAATATCTATTTTATGGAGAAATAGGAATCCCTAAGGTCTTAAACCTCTTTAATATTCATATTATGTCACTGTATGATGCATCTATGCATTAAAATCAAAATATCAAATTTTTTAATTTTTCTTGAAATATGTGGGTT